GGTATGTTGCGAAATAATAACTAGCTAGCTGAGAGACAAGCAAAACGAAGGACCCGGATGGTGTGGTGGTGAAGTGCGCTGCTCCCCGGTAAGGACAACAGCGCGTGTTCGTTCCCCATCGCATACACCTGCGATCCGGTGTTTTGCAAATATCTCGGCATTATATACGAGTTATATTTCGCAACATACGCTGCCATTAAAAAGAAAAAGGCAGTAAATAAAAGGGTTAAGATTTGACGCATAGTTTCCCATATTTAAGATAAAGAACAGGCGCGTGTGGCGCAGTGGTCGGAGGCGCCCTGCAGTACACATGGATTGACCCAGACGCCCCAGCACACCAAGCCCTCTATCCCTGCGGAGTCAGCAAATCGCTGCCGGACCTTCTAGGAGGATATCAGCGCTGGCGTGACTCATCGGTAGGCCATCGCGAGTCATTGTAGAGGCCAGATATGCATTCATTCACCTCCAAACGATGCTTAATGAAGTCGAATGCATGGCGCATCCCTAAGGGATTGATCAACGCCAAGAGCTTTATCCTTTATTTATTAAGGGTGAAGGGTTACGGTTTCGACGTTGACCAACCTTTCAGGGATGCACCTGCATTTGAATCGATTCATAGTTTCATAAAAATGGTTCGATGCATATGCGGTCTATACAATGACTTGTGGTGGCCAAAAGATATGTCAAGTCGATGCTGCTACCGTTGCAGCCAAGTCTGGTACCAATATGCCGACCCCGGAGGGAAGGGATCGTTGGTGAGCCTGGGGCGCCGGGTCGAACAAACGGCTGCGTGTGTATGGCAAGGCACTTCTAGCCACTGCGTTACACGCGTCTCTGTTTTCTGTTTTCTTACACACTTAATGGAAGATTTAGATAGTTCCTTTTCGTATTTGTAGGCCCCTTATACTTCTTCTATTCCATTCGCAGTCTTAGAAACGTTATCGAAGAACATAGCCAAGTTCAAACGAGGGTGCTACAAGTTAGCGACCAGTTGTCTTCTCTCAGTGAGATTCCGAGGAGTGCCAGTCTGCCGTAGTTCTTTCCGAGCCCTCTCATAGCCGTGACACAGCGTTTTCTGCTCTTCACCACATACACTCATCTAATCTTGCGGATCGAAGCGAGTTCTTTGTCATCAGGGTCTCTTGCATAGCGACTGGGATTCCAGCTGCGGTTGAGAACTACTGCAACTGGTTCACCGACCCGTGAACTATGATGTAACGGACCCAGTCGCATGACTTTCTACTTGTTTAAAACTATTTATTGACCAATACCTCGGGATGCTAAATTTATATCATTAGATTTATAATGAAGTCCATAAGGGCAAGGAGTAATGCTTTCGTCGTCGGTCGATCTCTCATCCATTTAAAAAAGGTTTTTGACTCAATTGTGATTGAAGCAGCCATGGAAGCCCTTGATAGTCAAGGAGTCACTACTCAGTAGATAAAGATTCTTCGTGAGCTGTACAAAAATTTCACAACCAATATAACACCATTCTACAACGACATTAACATTAACGTCAAAAGAGGAGTTAGGTAAGGCGATACCATCTCGCCACAATTATTTACCGCCTTCCTCCAGAACGTCATGCGAACATTGGAATGGGATATGTGAATGAAAATATTTCAATAAAGTGAAAAAATAAAGTGAATATTTCGACTTCAGAGATAATCTGAAATCTATCTCTGAGATATGTCACAATCTATGACATCTGTGAATATTCAGAGATATGGCACTGGAAGGAACCGTCTAGAGAGGACTTGATAATATGCGGGGAACGAAAATGGGAGAACATGGGAGTGAAAGTCGATGGTCGGCAATTACACCATTTTCGCCATACTAATGAACATCGTTCTTACTACACCAAACCTTGGCGAGGTGGAACGAATGCTTGGAGAGTTTGATAACTTTTGCTAAAAACTGGTCTTCGACTACAGCTCACAAAACGATGTTCATGAGGAACGGATTGGTTTCGTATGTCCCATTCACGCTCAACGGAACGATTATTTCCGAATGGTCCAGTTATGCCTATCTAGTTCGGAAAATTAATACGATGAATGACTTAGCTCCAGAGTTGAGCAAAAGAAAACGAGCGGCTGGGGGAGCTTTCAAGAGCATCAAGGATGTAGTGAAGAGAACAAAGAACACCCGACTCTGTGCCTACCTTTTCGACTCAGCGGTACTTCCTGCCCTAACGTATGCGTCACAAACTTGGTGGCTCCGTAAGCAGGATGAAAGATCACTCAGCGTTATTGAACGTGCAGTCGAAAGAGCGATACTAGGAGTATCCTGTTTCACACAAGTAAAGGAAGGGATTCAAACCCTCGACCTGCGTCAACGATCAAAAATCAAAGATGCCGTTCTGTACGCTAAACAGTCGAAGGTAAGATGTGTCGGACATGTAATGCGTATGAATGACAAGCAATGGACAAGAGCTGTTAGTGACCGGATTCCTTGTGATAGCACACAGCAGGAAGACGACGGACTCAATGGTCAGAGCTCTTCACGACAAACCTAGAAGAAAGGTATGATGCTCAACGAATCCATTGAACGAGCAGAACTCAATGGGCTACTTTTGCATGCAACGGGTAAGAATGGAAGATTTACTGGCGACTGCTCGAGTCGCTGGACGACAAACGGGAGCTCTCAGCATCATAGTTTCGGCTACGCGTTCAGTAACGCTGAGGGATCTTTCATCCTGCTTACGCAGCGATCATATTTCTGCCGCTTACGTTGGGGCGGGAGTATCGTGGAGACGAAAAGGTGGGCACGGAGTCGGGTGTTCTTTGTTTTCTTCACTACATCCCGCTCTTAAAAACTCCTTAAGCCACTCGTTCCATTCAGCTCTACTCTAGCTCTAAGTCGTTTACCATGTTGATTTTTTCGACCTAATGGACGTAACTACACGGACCTCCCTCATATGAGGGATCTCGAGCCGCTTAGTCGCGACGCTACGTGGCGCATCTGCAGGTGGTAGATAGGGGGTTAATCGCGGATCAAATGCGACCCTTGCTTCCCTGAGACGCAGGTGGATACAGGCGATGGACTCCCTGCTTCTGCTGCGTTGATTTGGCACATACTTTCTGTATTTGCTGACTCAATTCAGCCAAAATCGTGCAATCAAGTGACTGGGAAATTTATGGGAGACGGCTAGGAGTCGTCTCCAACAAATAAGGTCCATGTCCACTCTGGGAGAGCCTGGCAAGCTACCCATGAGTATACCCAGCCCCCACGTTCAGAGTCCAGCAAGCTATGCGTGGGCATCGAAACGCTAAACAGTAAAAAAAAAACAAACGACAAACGGGCCTCATTCCCCTGACCCCGAAAGAGCCCCCAGTTTCGCAGCGCTGGGTATGACGAGAACGGAGAGGCTACTAAAATCTCAGGGCCGATGGAAGATGCCTGGATTTCAAGGAAGTGTGGTGACGGTCTGTACCTACAATTCACGTACGCTTGCATCCGAGTCCTCGATAGAAGACTTGCTCATTCAGGCAGGAAGGATAAAGTACGACGTCATCGGCCTGGCCGAGACGAGAAGACGCTAGCCCTTAAACACCGTCTATGACACCGGAGAAGAACTGTTCCTATGAACATGCGACAGTAGAAGAGTCGGCGGCGTCGGCATTCTCGTCAACACGAGTTTGTCCATGAACATCGACTCATTCGAACAACTTACAACCCGAATCGGACGTTTACGATTAAGAAGACGTGAATCAATTCCAGTTTTGACAATCTTCGTTGTTTACGAGCCGACATCAAATTATGACGAAGAAGAAGTCGAAGCGTTCCATATGGACTTGGAGAAGTTCTACAGAAAAGACCACACATTCTTCAAGGTCATCATTGGAGATTTCAACGCCAAGATTGGACCAAGAAGAACGTCACATTGGGACCCACGGATTAGAATGGAACGAACAAGATGAGCGGCTGTCTGAGTTTTTATCATGGCGGCCAAGACAATCCATGGTAACCCGCAATTCCAGAATCCCCACCCTCAACGCTGGACGTGGAGTCTCCCAATGGAGAGTACCATTACGAAGTAGACTACATCATAGTAAATAGAAAGTTTTGCCTAACTGATGTCGCTGTTGTCCTAAAATTCTACACGGGATCAGACTATCGTCTCCTTCGTGCAAGATTCTATTTCTCGCGGAAAGGGGAAAAAGCCGCTAAATTCCAAAACCGAAGTCCCAGATTCACCGCAAATTGGGTTTTATTTCATAAGTCGGGTGTTGGGAAGATGCCGTTGTCGACAACATCGACGAAGAATACGATCGGCTCATATAACATCTTCACGTTAGCGTTATGAAAGCTGAGAGTTCGAAAGTCACCAAGAGACGTTTGCCTCCAGAAACACTTGAGCTGATACGCCAGCGTGGAATCGCATGAGCTGCAGGCAGCCGCGAACTAACGTCCAAACTTGCAAAACAATGCAGACAGGAGACAAAAGATCATAAAGAGCGAAGAGCAGCAGTAATGGTCGAAGCTTCAGAGGCTGGGAAAAACACTCGCAAAGCTCACCAATGCTTCGCCAATTACAAGACCAAGACGATTGCACTCCGACGCCCAGACGGGACAGTTATAGCGTCCAGAAAGGCTATGGAGAAAATAATTCGCGAATACTACTCAAATCTCTTGGATAGCCACGTCCACCTTCCGTCATATGAAATAAAGGAGGATGGATCTGTTGTACCACCTGTTCTCCCTTCCGAAATCCGGCATGCCTTTTCGTCGGTGAAAAATCGAACTGCACCAGGTCCAGGCAGGATAAAACCAGAACACCTGAAGAACCTTCCGTCAGTCCTCGCACACCGGCTCGGCTCGTCACACGTTACCTATCTGAATGCGAGGTCTCTACCTAGTGGAAGACCAGTATGACCGTGTCATTGTTCAAGAAGGGTGACCTGCACAATATCGGCAACTATCGCCCAATCTGCTTACTGTCTGGCGTCTACAACTTTTCACTCAAGTCATCCTAAACACGATTGACAGAACACTGGACGAAGGGCAGCCATGTGAGCAAGGAGGGTCTCGAAGAGGATTTAGTATGATGGACCACATCCACACGGTAACATGGCTCATTGAAGTATCGCGAAGGCACAAAAGACCGCTCTGTCTCACTTTCATCGATTTACAGGAGGCTTTTGATTCAGTTGAGATAGAAGCAGCCTCGGAAGCCCTTGATAGTCACGGAGTCACTACTCAGTACGTAAAGATTCTTCGTGAACTGTAGAAAAATTTCCCGACCAAGATATCACCATTCTACAACGATATTGATATTGACGTCAAAAGAGGAGTTTGGCAAGGCGATACCATCTCGCCACAATTATTTACCGCCTTCCTCCAGAACGTCATGCGAACATTGGAATGGGATGCTATGAGAGTGAAAATCGACGGTCGGCAGTCACATCATCTTCGTACTGCTGATAACATCGTCCTTATAACACCAAACATTAGCCAAACGGAACGTATGCTTGCCGACTTTGATAGAGCGTGTTGAAAGATTGACCTTCGACCAAATCTCATAAAAACGATGTTCATGAGGAACGGATTGGTTTCACATGCACCATTCACGCTCAACGGAACGAATATCTCTGAATACTCCAGTTATGTCTACCTAGATCGGGAAATCAATGTGATGAACGACTTAGCTTCAGAGCTGAGCAGCAGGAAACGAGCGGCTAGGTGAGCTTTCAAGAGAATGGAGGATATAGTGAAGAGAAGAAACGTTGAAAGTTGTACTTCTTCTAAATTTTGAAAAAAAAACAATTCGTGATGATCCGAACAATGCTCTTGTTGGAGCCAACGGAAAGGAAAATTTGAAAAACAGAAAATCAACAGATTTCTTTGTCATCCTCATCACGGTTCATACATTCATGAAGGAAAGTCCACAATAGTGATAATGGAGTTGGACAAAAACTGATGATTTCAAGTAAGGAAAAAAAGCTTTGCACTAAATGCTAGATTATGAGCCAGGATTGATGATCTAACGATGCCTAATGGAGTTTCTTCTGCGACGATGCGCATCGCTGTTCTTTCTATTTTATATGACCCGTCTTCACGTCTGCTGTGTGGATCCCAGCACTTCTCACATTCGATTCGTTTCTCGCATCCATCATCCAGGATGGTCTTCCTAGTTTTTACGAGTGGCTTCGGTTGCTGTTTGAGGATTTTCATTTCATCTTGAATGATGTGGAATGCTGATCGAGTCGATTCTCCCTGGAGCCCTGAGATAGCTGGGCTAGGGAGTTCCCAATTAGATTGCAGAGAGTGATTTTTCTCGGACAAGTCTAGTATCAATTCGCCGACCCCGGAGGAATGAGGGGCGTTGTTGGCCTAGGGCGGAATCGAGCTAGCACCATGCTCGTAAAAACCGACATCGCTACCACTGTGCTATCCGCCCTCTGTTGTTCATTAACTGGCATTTAATACATCTGCGACAGTGCGCATTGCTTTTAGATGTATTAGATGCAAGTCAATGAACAGCTGTTGCAGAAGAGACTTCATTAGGCACCATCAGACAATCAACCCTGACTCGTAATCTACCATTTAATGCAAAACTCTTTTTTTATCCTTTCCACTTCTGTTCAGCAAACACGAGGTGCTATTCCACTTCCCCACTCACGTAAAAGCTGACGTTTCGGCGGATTTCGCCTTCCTCAGAGTCTGGAAATGTCAAGTTGACAGCAACCTATTCGGCCAAACACCTTCATAACCAAACAGAGAAAACGCGAAACCAAGATTTCAATCACACTGAACACAGCTCCGCACACTCACCGCTTTCTATGAGTCTTCCACTGAGTATGTCGTGTGAAGAGCAACCGCACAGAACTCACATGGAAGCGTAATGTGCCCCTCCCATCAGAATTGCAGTCTTATATACTGCCCTATATCACGCGTGATAATGAGGCATTCTTCCCTGCAGTTCATTTTCGGATTCCTGGAATTAATCCAGAACGTCTCAAGAGTTTTGCGCGCTTGTGTTCTTGATTCCTACGCGAGGATTATCGTCTACACATTCAAATTCCAAATAAACCTTATTAGGAAGATCGACGGCATGAGATTTCATACAATGATCGAATTTGTTGGTCTCAATGGTACAAGAATATCATGGCACAACTCATTGGAATTCACAAAGTTTGTTCATTTACATCATAACACTGAGAATCTAGAGGAGAGAATAAATACAAAGCGCTTTTTAGTTGGAATCTTTCAAAGCTTCGTCAACGGAATTCTGTAGTTTTGGAACGAAGTGAGAATGAAAACCGAGTGGAATGCGTGGTTGCGGGATGACGAAGCGACACAGTTGATCCATAGTTTGCGCGTTCAGGATGACCACATAGGGCATGTGAGCACCAGGAACGGTCACAACAGGCACAATCAGTACTCCTTAATAAACGATTAGTACAAAGATGAACCCATAATGGATAAAGTAAGAAAGAAAGAAAGGAAGAAAAAGTAATAATGTGATAAAGAATGGTACGGAGCAACAGAGAGAGGTGGTCCGCAAAACACACACACATACACACATACACACATACACACATACGCGTACACACATAAACACACACAAACATACACACATACACACATGCACACATGCTGACACTACCGTCCACCTCTGCAGTGTCGGACAATCGTTGTCAGACACGTTTAGGAGGAAAGAATGGTGATTTTTGAAATCGACAAGCCCTCCCAATCAATCATCACTGGGATGCTTGATGGAATTGGATGCATGGCATATTCCTAAGGAATTGATGAACTCCAAATCATTTATCCTTCATCTTTTATAACCGGTGAAGAATTGGAGATAGGGAAATCCAGAACAGTCATCATTGAAAAAAAACATTGAATTATTTTACATTTGGTATTCTTCGCATACCACATAGTAGTAGAGTACCTCAACTCCTCAACGAGACTCACAACCTCGATCCTCGTCTAGGTCAGCTACTTTAATCTTTCGACGAGGGCGTAGTTTTCATGGCGTTGCAAGAAAATTACTTATACATGTAGGGCCCATCATTGGCGAATTTTTGAACCCTTTGATCTTTGTGATCGGAGGACAATCAATAAATCAGAGATTTTTCGCAAAAAAGAAGTCGCATTAGGATTTGGTGGCCTCGTCAACTTCTTCGGAGTTCACTGATACTCCTTGAAAAGATGGAGGTATCGACGGAAAAATGCAAGCTTGATAGAAATTCCGAGTGATACGTACGGACCGTCCCATCTAATGCAAAGCTACGGTACGTATTTTATCCAAACGGTATGGTCTCGTCGGTCTTCCAATTCTGGATGGCGATAAAAGTTGGTCACTGTTCTTATCCAATACAAGTTAGGTAATCAATAGACAATGTCGCTCATTTCTGATAAGCTTCAAACATCAAGGAAGTTGAGCTGGAGTCCTTGAGGATGGTGCGTGGGAGACAGCTTCTCCAGCAACGACGACGACACCAAGTGCAGCGGACCTGTTGGTACCGTAACCTCACCTATCTCAAGAAGTGACGACGATTAAAGGAAAAGGTAGAATAGCAAGCTGAAAATGATTTCTTTGAAACATAGAAATAAGCAAACCTTCATCTTCTGCTGTATAGCCAGGTTTATTCACTAAGATCGGTTCGGCGCATATTTGTGCCTCAGAATCCTTATTCCATACCCTGTATGTCCCATCCTTTACATCAACTTTTACAACCTAAATATCGTCAGATTAGTTTGGAATTCTGAGGAAATGATTTTCAAATAATTCGGAGCCAAACCTACACCATATTTTTCTGTTGGTTTATGCACCAAACAAGAACCGTATACATATCGATAATCACGCATGTTCAAATCGTAGCAATAACGTGGGAACTCTATTGCTAAAAACTCGTCTGTTATTGATTCATATCGATTATTGGTGGTAAAATACGCTGCCACTTACAAATCTCACATAGTCGTCTGTCCGTGCAATGAATACTACCGTCGTCTTTTAGAATTGCCTTACATCCGCCAGCAAAATCGCAAGATTCCAATAGATTATCACCTGGTTTACTATCACTGCGGACATCCAGTGGAATAATCATTCTATGTAGGTAAGGATGGAAGTTGAGATGCTAAAGCAGATAAATCATATTGTCCTCTTTATTTCGTTTCCTAGTCAGGTGATCTACAAGTGGCGATTTCGTCTTCTCTAAGCACGTATGCCATTGGTGGATGACGTGAACACGCCATTGCCAGAGGGTGGCAACCAATCACGTACGAGATTGGTCAATTTTCATCTTTGCACTACCACACTTGCAAATCCATGAGAAAAGATAGAAGTGAAGAATTCCAATATCAAAGCAAGAAACAACCAAATGCTACTCAACTTATTAAATTTTGTAAGTGAATCAATTTAAAACCGGACCACTGACAGTACTAAGGTTTTGAGGATCTCAGAGAAAAAAGTCGATTAATTTGCCTGTGAGATTGCGGACAGCTGCTACAAATACCTACATTACGAAACGTTCCGGTTCGCATGTGTTCAAGAAGGAGAGCGTCCAGATTTCCGGGATTTCTAATCCTTACGTAATCAACGACAAGAAGACCGTTACGCTCATAGGCGTTTGCATGATGGAACGTGAAGAAAGGATCCGATGTCACCTAGAAGTAGAAATTCTTGAACTCCTAATGCTTTGTTGTTTTACAAAAATAATTTCGTTTTATCGTATTCTTCTAGCCCTTTCCGTTGTCCGTTTAAACGGATCAACAATGGCTTTTAAGATTGTTCAGCTTAAACAAGGTTGTTATAAAGCAATGTAGACAAAGGATAAAAAGATAAAGCAACCGCCGTTGATCAACAGCCGAGGGATGCGCCATGCATTCGAATTCATTAGATATCGTTGGAGGTGATACAATGCATATCTGGGGTTAACGATGACTCGCAGTGGCCTACCGATGTATCGACCAGTGCTGCTATTCTCCCAGACAAGTCTGGCATCAATTCGCCAACCCCGGAGGATGGAAGACTTGGTGATCCACGGGCGCGGGGATCAATTCCATGTGTGTGTTGCAGGGCGTCTCCTACCACTGCGCCACACGCGCCCTTATAATGTAGATGATGTAGATAAGTGCAAGCAATAAACAAAGAATGGAAAATAATTTGTGGGGAAATAAAAGACAAACAATAAAAAACGATAAATAAAAATAAACGTTCACAACTCATGAACTATTTTTCAGAGGCACCAATGTTGTTTTCCAGTTCGAGAAAAAGCGGTCCGTGACTTCTAACTTGAATATTGTTGGGAGCACTGTATAATAGATTTCGGCTCCTACATCGTTCTTGAGCGGCTGATCATTTTTCACTCTAAGTTTCAAGTAATTCTTCGTATTTTTGTTGAGCAAACGCGAGGTGTTATTATTCTTTATTCACGAATGAGCTGTCGTTTCGGCGGATTTCGCCTTCCTCAGAGCCTGGAAAGGTCAAGTTGACAGCAATCTACTTGGCCAGACGCCTCCATAACCAAACAAAGAAACTCTAAACCAAGATTTCAATCACATTGAACACAGCTTTGCACACTCACCGCTTTCTATGAGGTCTCCACTAAGTATGTCACGTAGAGACCAACCGCACAGAAATCACATGGAAGTATAATGTGCCCCACTCATCAGAATAGCAGTCTTATATACTGCCTTACATCACGCGTGATAATGAGGCATTCTTCCTTGCGGTTCATTTTCAGATTTCTGGAATTAATCCAGAGTGCCTCGAGGCAAGAACACAAGCTCGCAAAACTCTCGAGGCATTCGGGATTAATTCCAGAAATCCGAAAATGAACCACAGGAAAGAATGCCTCATCATCACGCGTGATATAGGGCAGTATACAAGACTGCAATTCTGATGGGAGGGGCACGTTATGCTTCCATGTGATTTCTGTGCGGTTGGTCTCTACGTGACATACTTAGTGGAGACCTCATAGAAAGCGGTGAGTGTGCAAAGCTGTGTTCAATGTGATTGAAATCTTGGTTTAGAGTTTCTTTGTTTGGTTATGGAGGCGTCTGGCCAAGTAGATTGCTGTCAGCTTGACCATTCCAGGCTCTGAGGAAGGCGAAATCCGCCGAAACGTCAGCTCATTCGTGAATAAAGAATGATAACACCTCGCGTTTGCTCAACAGAAATACGAAGAATTACTTGATCAATGCCGAGGTTAATAGAAAGTCGGTCGTGGAAGTTACTCTAAGTTTCATTTTTCACTTTGGTTTTAATACTGTCTTCGAACCAGTTAGCAGAAAGGCCGAATAAGCCAGCGTCAGTTCGTCGCACACTGAATGTCACTATTTATGACGTCAAGCGGTAAGAGGACCGGTGGAACCCTACAAAACCTCGAGGTATGCAAGACCTCACCGGAACCTGATGCACGACACGCCATGGAGATTTGTTCTTACTCTGCAGGTATAAGCCAGAACATTCTCCTCGGACGTCGATCACCGCGCTCTTCTTGAAGCTGCAGATCGCATGAAAATTCATGTGATCGCACTACAAAAAACAAAAAGCGGGAAGACCGAAATACGACAAGTAAACAACAGGACTATTGACATCTGCGAAGAAGAGGTCCCGTCACGAAATGTCGGTGGCGTAGGCTTTGTCGGCTAGCCGTTCATTGTCCATCCCGTTGACTCCTACAAGATTCCTCCCCTCGCATATCCGTCCACCGTCTTCAACTAATGCGTCGTGAGAAGATCGCTATCATTGCTACTCACCGACCGATGCTGCTGATGAGTACGAATTAAATGCGTTCTACTATCAGTTGGAGGAAGTCATCCGCAATGATAAAGCATATCATAGATTTGTTATTGGAGACTTCAACGCCAGAATAGGAAAGGCCGACAAGAGCGAATACAGGATCGGAATTTTTGGATTAGAAGAGAAAAATGAGAATGGAAACCACCTCCAAGATTCCTATCTGCTGCAGGTCTCTTCTATAGAAACTCGTTTTTCCAGAAGAAAGGAAACCACCACTGAACATGGGAGCCCTCTAACGGCATAGCTCATGCGGAGATCGATCATATTCTGAGAATCGGAAATATGTCGGCAGGACTCGTGTGATTATAATGTTCCGCTGTCGGCACTGATTAACGAAAATGGGATCACCAAGACATCTCGCCATGATATAGAATTGATAGAGGAAACGTTCTACACCAACCTTTTCCGTTCCACAGTCTCGTCGCGAACACGAAAATCCTAGCTGCAGAAAAACCCCCTCGAATTCCTCCGTCGGAGGTTTGAGTTGCGATAGACATCATGAAAGGAAGCGCAGCTCCAGGACCCGATGATATCACTGCCCACTTCCTTACAGCTGGAAGCCACAATTTACATGTGGTTCTCGCAAACCATATAGCAGCCTATCATGAAAAAGAAAAAATCCCAGACTGGTGGAGTACGTCGCACACGGTCATCCTGCCCAAGAAAGGTAACTAAAGGGATCCTAGTAACTATCATCCGACATGGTTGTTGAAATTACTCTACAAGCTCTTTACGAAGACTATCCTGTCACGCATTTCAAGGACATTGGAAAAGGCGTAATCAGTCGAGCAAGCAAGATTTCTACAAGGATTTTGCTAATTGGACTACATCCAAACTGTGTCCAGGATCATCGAAGTTTGATGAGTATACCACCTGCCCTGCTCCTCACTTTTTTCGACTATGAAAAAGCATATGACAGTGTCGAAACGTATGCAATCCTATCAGCGCTCGTCGATCAAGGAGTGGACCTGTCTTACACAAGAACTCTGTCCAACTGTTATTGGCACTGTATTACGAAAATACAGCTTTTCTGCCGACTCTCACAATACCCATAGAAAAACGGCTTCGATAAGGCGACACGATACCATCAAACCTGTTTAGTGCAGCACTGCGGTGGGTAATGAAATTACTCCTTGAGGATGAGAAAGGCATACGTATTGATGGGAAATTCCTATCAAACCTTCGTTTCGCCGACGACGTCGTCATCTCAAGAACTACCACAGAAGCAGGGACCGTGATCAACGAGCTCAACGAACCAGGAAAAAGATCGGGCTATGCATAAATCGAAAGAAGACCCAGTTCATGAAAAATCCATGGTGCGAAGGCAAAAAAATTGAATTGGGCTCTAATTCCAGAGACCACCTCGTACGCTTACCTTGGGTGATCCGTGAACATGGAAAACAACATGAAGGAGGAACTCAATAGAAGAAGGAGAGCAGTTTGGGTCGCATTCGGGCTTCTCAAAGAAGCCACCGACCAACTGAAGGACCCGAAAATCCGCGCTCATCTCTTTGATTCTGTGGTCCTCACAGCGCTCTATTATGCTGCAGAGACATGGGTTCATACTTCAACTACGTCAAGAATGCTTCGCACTACTCACAGAGTCGAGGTTCTTTGAAATATAACCGACACTTTTAATATGTAGTCGGAATGCGAAGCTCTGACCTTCGAAATCTATCACATCTTCAAGATCCAGGAGAATGTACATGGACAGCATAACATAGATGGGCCGGTCACATAATGAGAAGAACAGACGACAGATGAACGAGAAGAAAAGCAAAGTGGACTCCACGAGGACGCAGGTGTCCCCTAATACGACCACCTACGCTAACCAAAGTTAATCAGCTGTACTCGTAGCTGTAGTTACTTTACAGATCACGGTATGAGACTCGCACCCACCACCATACTCGAATAAAACCACTACCATGAACGACGACTGCGAGATAAAGAAACGAATAGGAAATGTTCCGGGTTCACAAAACTTGTGAAAACGGATCGTTCAAGCATCCAAGTAGGCATAATCTTAACCTTTTTATTAACTGCCTATTCTTTTTAACAGCACGTTATTTTGCGAAATATAACTATTATAATGCTGAGATATTTGCTAAACACCGGACCGCAAGTGAGTGCGGTGAGGACGAACGCGCCATTGTCCTTTCCGGGGAGTAACGGGAGAAGGGGGGCGAAGGCGAGACGAAGGACCCGCATGGTGTGGCGGTGAACGCGTTACTCTCCGGAAAGGACAATAGCGCGTTCGTTCCCCACCGCAGACACCTGCGGTCCGGAGTTTTGCAAATATCTCAGCATTATAATAGTTAACCAAGTAAGCAT